TTAGCTGAAATGCGTTTGATAGTGTTATATACTGTATGTATCACAAAGTTATTATGGTTCTTTGTTATAAACGCTTTTTTTCGTCAAAGCTTCTTCAGGTGCTTTTCGGCTGTGTTTTTTTATTTTCCAATTTAACCATCCAACAGTAGTCTGCCATAATGTTGATAATCCATCGACCTGGGTATCTGCACTCCATTTATTAATATATTTAATGAAATGGCTTCTGGCGTACATGTGGCCGCCAGAATTTATTTCGCTGTAGGTGCTCGCTGGCCAAGATACTCAGCGCATCGGCAGCTCCAACACTTGCGGAAGAAACCGCTATAATATTGGAGCGTTTCGTTTCTGAGCAGTACATATCATTCTCTGAATAATAAAATATGCGTTTAAAAATTACTTTTTTAATTAAACGCTTCTAAAGAATGCAGAGTCTCCGATGTTACACATGTACAATGAATTTCAAATTTCATTTTCAAATAATGAAGAAAATTTATTTTTAAATTTTTATTTTCATAGTAAAAATTTAAAGTTTCAAAATTATTTATTCTGTCAATTTATTCATGCATTGTATAAGACATTACGAAAGTGTGCAAAATTTCAAATCGATCGGACAGGAAGAAGTGTGTTAAATATTGATTGTAAGATTTGTAGCAGACAAAATTATTTTTTCAATTTTTCTAGTAAAAAAATTATTTATCAAAATTTTTAAAATTATTTATTCTGTCAATTGATTCATGTATTGTCTCCAACTTTACGCAAGTGTGCAAAATTTCAGATTGATAGGAAAAGTAGACGTGTGCTAAATATAGATTATGAGATTTGTAGCAGACAGACAAACAAACAAGAAGTGAAGTTAAAGAGAATTGTTGTAATAATATGCGTTAAAAATTACTTTTTAAAGACAACACTTCTGAAGAATCCATTGTCTTGGATGCTACACATGTACAATGAATTTCTAATTTTATTTTCAATTATTAAAAAAATTATTGTTCAAAATTTTTTGTGATAATCAAATTTTTGTAAATTTTCAAAATTATTTATTCTGTCAACTGATTCATGCATTGTCTCTGACTTTATGCAAGTGTGCCAAATTTCATATCGATTGTTCAGGTAGAAGTGTGTTAAATATCGATTATAAGATTTGTAGCAGACAGACAGACAAACAACAAGAAGTGAAGTTAAAGAGAAGTGTTGTAATAATAATAATCAATTTCCTTAACCACGCGTCCTACTCGACCAAGTGAGCCGAGAAGATGAGGGACGTTAAATTGCCTCCACTCGTCACTGGCGAGACCTTCGAACACAACAAAAGAAAGTCGGACAGCACAGCCAACTTGTGATTGCCAAATAATTGAGAGCCCAATGTAGAGGAGAGCAGTTCGGAAACACTATGGTAAGAATTTAAAAGTAATTCAAACTTATTTGAAAATCTCTGTGTGTTCGGAGGTCTTGTACTACCTACAGTAACTCGGTCATCAGATTTAATTTATCTGTGAGAGGAAACAATAAACATGAAAAATTTTAAAGTAGTATTGTCAGTTAAAGAATTGATTTTCAAAAGGAGAAGAAAGTAGAAGTAGAAGCTAGCGAAAGTAGAAATTAGAACAGTAGAAGCTAGCGAAAAAGTTCCAATCAAATCTGAAGTTGAGAACTGACACAGCTAACTATTATAATTCGCAGTGAGACGACGAGCGCTCAGAAACCATGATTGAATTATGACGAGTCGGATACATCCTGATTTGAAAGCTCAATAAATAAATAGCTAGTTTAGATATCATTACAATATAAATTTGATTGAAAACACATCATCTTTATTTTTGTATCAATTAGTTTTAAAGATGACGTGACGTCGGACAAATGACGGCCTAATTGTCAATGCATTCAGTTAGTCGATTTTTGAAATTCCATTCAACTCGCAGAAGCATATTGACAGGTATGTTGGCGATGGCTTGGCGTATGATGTTCTTCAGCCCAGGAAGTTTTCGTGAATCACCAGCTGTACTACGATACGGTGGCTCAACCTGAAGAAAGTTGCTAAGGGGGAGCCAATGAACACTTTTGCGGCAAATTTTTCGGCCTTAATTCGTAAGAAAAAGTAAAAGAAACCTTCATTTCTGGTTAATAGAATTCATTAAAAGGCACTCACGTAAAGTTTAGCTTGTTAGCAGAAATTGTTCTTTTTCAGAGTTCTGTTATCAAGAAATAGGATAAAAAACTTAGAATTATTGGATTTCTTCAACACGGTCGTTATTTTGTGGCTTAAATGCTCAACTCATCGTCAGTAAAAAGTAGAGTTGAATTTAAGATGAGTTTTATCATGAACAGTGTCGCTACTGGTACAATTAAAGTGGTTTAATTGCACGCCTTACTATCACAGAAAATTTACCAACATAGTTAATTAAGTATGTTCCAACGTACACTGCAAATTACCATAGAGAGAAATATTCGTATTCGTGTCCTTATATTTGTACGAGTACACGTGAAGATTCATGGACTGTCATATTGCGATGCAGCTCACGCTCTGTTGTGGACAGACCGGCTACAAGAAGACCCGAGTATTTGCATTTGGTTGAAGGGTATTTTCTTCCGCGGCTTTCAGAGGTCTCATCTCCGAGTCCGGCGGAACCTCGCGAGCCTCGAGACTGAGCTCAATATTTCCAGTCGCATCGCTTTGATTCTCATTGAGTAAGCATTTCAACAC